TATATATATATATATATATATAGTATTTTATTTTTATTAGTAATGTAAAAGGGGAATGGGACAGAAACTTGATGAGTGGCTGACTCAAGCTCATATTTCCCACATGAGCACCATTGAGTCTAGGCATATGCACAAACCACTGGGTCAAGTCTCCAACGTGATCTGCATTAAAACATCACATTATAGCAAATAATCACACTCTTCACTCTCTCCTGTTCCAGGCTCCTATTCCAAAGAGCGTCCTGATCTCTATTCCCATCTCCAAGTCCTCCGTCTCTCGTTTCCGGAACAGTGTGGAAGGGCTGAATCAGGAGATCGAGCGCATCATTGTCCGAGACACAGGAGACAGAGAGGAGCAGCTTATTGTGAGTGTGCCTGACATGATGCTGCAAAAACACATAATCTGGGGTCCTCACAGAATCCCTAAAGACACTGAGTGTGTGTATAACTGAAGTTTTGTTTCTGTGTTCTGTTGTGTATGATCGTTGCACTTTTTCCTCTGACCAGCCTCAGGAGGCTCCGGATGGGCATCGGGCTCCTCCTCCTCTCTGCCAACGCAGCGCCAGCTCCCGCAGCATTGACACACAGACGCCCCTGGGCACCGCAGCGGGCAGTATCCACAGCAACAGCAGCAGCCGCTCTCAGTCCATCTCACCCACGTTCCTGAACGTGCCAAGTGAGCCCTGCAGCGACAGTCCATCTCCCCACGAGGACGAGACTCTGGCTGACGGCCATGAGAAAGGTACAGCTCACATAGTTTTCACACCCACATACACACTCAGGGCTGTTCACACGTCCTGGGGCCCACACAGAAACTGCACATGCATTTTCTGCATTGATTGTGTGAAAATGTGCTGGATGGATTTAAACATGGTCAGATTTGTTATATGGGGCTGACGGTGCTATACTTTCATTAGTAGCTGTAATTAAATAACTGATTGATCATCCACAAACCAAGTAGTTTTTTTTTTTTGATTATTTATTTTTTTTTTTTTTTGGTTTAGATTTAATAATAAAAATATTAATATGGAGCACAGAGGAGAGAGGGAGAGAGACCGGTGGACCAGGCGGAAGACCGGACCCCCTCTCTGACAGGATGACAGGAAGTGGACTTTCGGGAAAGGTGAAGTTTTTGTTCGCTCTCTCACAGAAGACGTCATAAACGGCAGCTGTTAGCATACTGTAGATGGCACATGCTGTAGATGTGCATGCTGATTTAACTCGGTTAGCATGTGGTTTGCATGTGTCACTGTATCTCGCTATATGTCCTGGTTTAGTTGTGAGGCTTGCGTCGAAGACATGCAAGCGAGGATCAGAAGTCGGCCAGCGAGACGGAGTTACATAACTAACTGATCTGCAGAGGAGACCAACACGCTACCTTGCAATGTGTCTGTGTGCTGCGCTGTGATAAGACGAATCTCTGTTAGTGTTTAGCATCATATGGAAACTGAAGTGTGTGAATATTCAGCTGCTGTGTGATGCTGTTGCTGTAAGTTTTCACACAGGCAGTGTTTCCTTTCAGTGGCATATTCAGTTCTCATTTTGAGGTCGTGTCTCTGTTATGCACACAACACCCACACACACCAACCACATGCACACTTTTATCTTCATTGCTGTCCTGATGCTTTAAGTTGACCACTCAGTTACAAACTTGGGGGAAAAACGCACATGTGCCTGTTAGTGCTAAACTGGGAGAACAAAAACTGACTTCCTCCTGTATGTGTTTTTATTTTTTTATAATAAATATTAAATTAAACATAAAATAATATATAATATATCATTCCATTAAAAAATACTTTATTTTTTATTAATAATTAATATGGATGGATTTAAACATGGTCAGATTTGTTATATGGGGCTGACGGTGCTATACTTTCATTAGTAGCTGTAATTAAATAACTGATTGATCATCCACAAACCAAGTAGTTTTTTTTTTTTGATTATTTATTTTTTTTTTTTTTTGGTTTAGATTTAATAATAAAAATATTAATATTTTAGCAATTTGCAAATTTTTATAAGGGATTAATTTAAAGACAGGTTGTTTGACTATCATCCATACGTCTCCATTTTTTGGTGAGGATTATGATAGTTTTGTGCAATAAAAGGTTAAGGTAATATTAATTCTACAAATTTGTTGAGTATATGTCAGATACCCTATTGAAGAACTGTGCAGTCTGCTTAATTTTTTCGGCTAATATTTATATTTTATTTCAACTTTATTTCATTTAATGATATTTTTAAATAGTTTTAGTTAACAATAACAACAGTGATCTGGTGGACCGTAATTATACAGGGCTTCCTTAAGACTGACAGTCAACTAATTGTTTAGCTCTCTGTTCAATTTTGGACATGTATCATCATCTCCACTAATAATCCTGTCTGAGCTGTATTGACATCCTACTCCTTTTTTTGTGACATGTTCACAGATCTGGCCCCCAGCTCACCCCTACCCAAATATGCCTCATCCCCAAAGCCGAACAACAGCTACATGTTCAAACGTGAGCCGCCCGAGGGCTGTGAGCGAGTCAAGGTCTTCACAGAGGAAACCCAGTGAGTGCTGCAGTGTGTCCTGATCCACTGCTTTATCTGCTCTCTCCACACTCACTATTGTGTTGCGCCCTGAGCCTTGAAACCATGATAGCATAACATTTACACTGACTTCAAAGCTGAGTCAGAGCTTCTCACCGTCTTATCGCTCTCCTCCTCCTCCTTTTTCATCTCCTCAGGGCCAGGCCTCCACGGGAGATCCCACAGTTCCTGTGCCCAGATAGGAACAAGGTCAATTTCATCCCCAAGAGCGGCTCTGCGTTCTGCCTGGTCAGCATTCCCAAACCGCTGATGCCCACAGAGGAGCTCAACAACCTCAAGAACCAGAGCGCCGCCCATCTCACGCCCGAACCCGAGCCGAGAGTCTCGCGAAGAACCTGCATGCTTTCCCAGCAGCCCTCAGGCTCCTCCCCCTCCTCCTGTCTGTCAGAGAGTTAGACACGCCCCTCAACCAGCGTCCCAGCAACTGCGTCCGCATACCCTGCACATTTCAATAATCGAACATGATTAAAAAAATAATAAGTGACTCTTAGAGAACAAAGTGGTTATTAATAATAGCTTTCGTTGGGTGCGAAGATGAAACGGTTGCCTTTGCTATGCACATTTTTAGCTTTGTGCTTGTTCTCAAAGAACAAAGGCCATTTTTGGGGGGTTTTGGGTTTGTGATAAACGAATTTAGATACTTTATTTTTTATTAATAACAAAATATATAACCTTGGGTAAATATAACCAGAAATTAATGGGGAAACAAAAAGTGATATATAATATAATATAATATATAATATGTTTTATGAAAAATATGTTTTATTAAAAATATGTATTATAAATATAATATTAAATAAATAGTATATTAGAAATTTAATTCTATAATGTATTTTTTTATTAGTTACATAAGAGATGAGGTAAATCATATAAAATAAAAAAAATAAATGGTTAAAATGTTATAATATATATTATATTAAACATAATACCTCCTGTCTGTCAGAGAGTTAGACACGCCCCTCAACCAGCGTCCCAGCAACTGCGTCCGCATACCCTGCACATTTCAATAATCGAACATGATTAAAAAAATAATAAGTGACTCTTAGAGAACAAAGTGGTTATTAATAATAGCTTTCGTTGGGTGCGAAGATGAAACGGTTGCCTTTGCTATGCACATTTTTAGCTTTGTGCTTGTTCTCAAAGAACAAAGGCCATTTTTGGGGGGTTTTGGGTTTGTGATAAACGAATTTAGCTTTTAATTATTCCTCTACCTTCCATAGATAACGAGTGAACCTGAGAATGTGTCTCAGATCGCTATGAAAATGAATCTAAATGATCTTTCTCAGTACTGAGGTGGCTGCATGGATCTGTTTTTGTGAGACAGTGTATATTTTATAATAGTTTGCAGTGGATCGCATCATTGAATACAAATGATGCCATTTCAGATGAGACCAAGAGACCTGGTAGAATGAATTCTGGGTTGATGAAGGTCTCCGGGACTGAATCGTTTTCACAGCAGCGGGGCCTTCTCCGTTCAGTCCTGACAGAAGCAGCAGGGGAACAGGAGGGAACGGTTCTCTGCTTTTTCTCCTCTTCCTTTCTCACTGGTGGCGAGGAGACAGAGAGGTGCTAAGATAAGACTAGCGAGTGTGAGAGAGAACGCCGCTTAACGGCTACAGGACGAGTGGTCTGTAAACCTGATTCTTTTGTTTGCATGGTTGTTAAATGCATTTCAAATGCATATGGGTCCAAACTCTGAACTTCAAACCCAGCGGGGAACAAAGTGAGAGAGCGAGAGGAGGGCAAGACAGGATCTGGGTGGACAGACGCAATGTTTTCTCACCTCTCGCAATGATCAAGCCGATTTAGCTTGAGGAATGTTTGAAAGAAGGACACGACAAGTACAAAATCAAACTGCGAAAATGTAACGCATAAATGTCCAGGTAGTTCACAATTCAGATGTCTATCAAAACATTCATGGAATGTTTTCTGTGATATCCAATGAAATAGTTTACAAAGTCAGAGCACAATATTGTCATTACATTGATTTAATGCATGCATTCTGGGAAATTTCAGTCTGTGTGTGTGTGTGTGTGTGTGTGTGTGTGTATCACTAGATTCAAGCAATTAAAAACAGCACAGATTTTCTCTCCGTTTCAGTGTCTAAATGCCATTTTCATCATGGAGCAGACTTTTCCAAATCTTACTTATTGAGCATCTAGGCTGATTTCCTAATATGCTGTAGTTGTTTTTATCGTTATTTTGTATGAACTCAAGTAGTGTCTGATGAAAGATTATCATTTTATGCAGCTCACGCAAGTGCTTCTGTAGACCAAAGAGAACATCTCCTGTGGCTCAGTGACAGCCATTGTAGATGGAATTATAAGGCGACTTAAAGGAACAGTTCAAATTGTATGATTTCCCATCTTCTGTGGAACATATAAGAAGGTATTTTGAGAATTCTTTTTTTTTTGACTGAACTATCCCTTTAATGGACAACAATAGTACTAATTGAATGTCGTGTCATTCACTTTCAGGAGTAATTTAGGATTTTCAGCTCAAAGATCAGAAGTGCTGTGGAAAGGTTGTCCGCTTGCAGTGCATTTGTGCTTTGTGTGCAGGGTGGGGTTCCTCACAGTTGTTTTGTTGGGAGGCATTTTAGCAGTGTTCCTGTTTTTTCTTGTTCACTCTTGTAGTTAAGGTATTGTTTTGAGCTTTAAACAACATACAACATGAACCTGGAATACTTTAGCACTTTTATACCAGCATTGTGAATCAGTACGGGACCTCTGTGTTTGACCTGAAATAATCTCACAGCCTGTGATTACTATCGTAGATCAGTACTCAAATGTAAAAGCAGCAATCTCTTCTGGCAACGGCACAAGAATCCAAACATTTCTTGCTCAAAAACAAATTGATAACGTTTTATCAAGCGCTTTGTATATTTCCTTAGGATATGTATTGAAGTAGAGAACTCTCTCGCTGTAGGGCCAATATTAATATACTTTTATATGGGTAGTGGCCTACTCTTTGTAATCAGAGCGGAATATCAGTCAGATATTAAGAATCCAAATGTACAACTTCTTAACGCGGGGACAGTGATGTATGATGGGATACTGTGTTGGATGCTGTCTGTCTCAGTGGATGTTAGTCTCTTGTGTATGGAACTCAACAGAATAAAGTTGCACTCGCTCCAAACGTCTGAGGGTGTTATTTGATGTGTGAGTTGAGTTTGGGGTTAACCCTTTTTCCAGTAATAAGATGTCTTTGTTGAATGATGTGAAGTATGATTATTAGTTGGTGCTGGTATCAAAGAGAACCCAGGAATATTAAACAAAGCCTTCCGAGTGTCATTAGAAATGAGTTTCATCACTTGCTGAGAACAAAAATGTGGAGTAATGAAAATATTTGTGTTTTGGCACTAGACTTCTAACGTGTTTTGGATGCTTTCACACACACCACCTAGTGGTAATCATGTTGTAAGAATGTGTGTCCTCACATGATGGACACAAATCAAGAGTGGCACTTTACATACAGAACTATAACAATTTTTTTTTCCAGTCCTCATTTATTTGATTAAATGACTGGTAATATAAAGCTGAAATTCATTTGAAGGTACTTAAGCATTGTAATGAATCATAATCACTCTATCACAATTTTCCCCCCTCTGATTACACTACTGCTTAAAAGTTTGAGCTAGGTAAGTTTTTGGTGAAAGTAATGCATTTTTTTTTTTCAGCAAGGACACATTAAATGAATCAAAATGTATCAAATAAACAGCCTTGGTGAGCAAAGGAGACATTAAAAAACATCTTTCAAAAATAGGGAGGGGGCAAAAGTAAAAAATTGGACTCACCCCAAACTTCTGGAACAGTAGTATATTTCTGTCAGAACCACTATCGTCAAAGATGATTGACAATTAGCATGGATTGGCGGTATGGTTATACATTTTTAAGTCTAAAAAAACTTTTAAAAACTTTTTTTATTAGTAACAAAAATATATAACCTTAGGTAAATTAATTAATAAATTAAAACCAGAAATTAATGTAGGAGCAAAAAGTGACTTCCTCCTTTATTTTTTTATTTTATTTATATTAACATATACTCTATATTTATAATAATATAATATATAAAAAATGTGTATTATAAATATAATATTAAATCAGTATATTATCAATGAAATTATATATTTTTATTAGTAGTATAAAATGAGGTAAATCATATAAAATCTAAAAAACCTAAGAAATTATTAGATCCTTAATGGCCTCTGCCGTGAGGGCTCCGCCCTCCGCTGCCTGCAGGAGCTTCGCCTGAAAAACCTGCAGCACTGCCATGGCGTGCAGCGCGGAAGCCGCCTCGCCATCAGACGCATATGCTTTATTGGCAAGGTGGGCGGTGGTCCTGCACAGCTTTGAGGGGAGGCTGATGTCTGAGCCTAGGGTCTTGGCTTGGTCTCCTCGACTGGGGGAGAGCGCACGTACCTGTGGGCCTCCGCCCCATCCACGTGGGAAAAAATGGCCTGTTTGGCAGAGTGGACGCGCGCTGATTGGGGCGCAGACCATGTTTTTACCAGCTGCTCATGTACGTCGGGGAAAAAGGGGACCGACGTCCTCGAGTCAGCTTTCCGGGTGGACCTGAAATACCAGGAGTCAAGCTTACTCCTGGCAGGCTCCTCTGGAGGACTCCAGGTAAGCTCCAACTCCTGGACAGCCCTTGACAGAACCCTCATGAGCTCCTCCTGGAGGTCTGGGGGCCCCATGCTGTCCGGCTGATCGGACTCCGATCCCGCCCAATCCTCCCTCTCCGAGGCCGAGATGGACATCGAGTCATCCCCCTCCTCCTGGCTAAAGGATACAAACTCCGCGATGTTGGAAGGAGGGCGGAAGCAGTCCTCGGGGAGTGAGACCGGGGAACGGGGCGACCGTTGGGGTTGGTGGAGCGACAAGACGACGCTCCCGTCACCGGGAGGGCCCACCAGCGGCACGCTGGCGGCAGTGGGCCTCATCCCGAATAGGCCGCGAGCCACATCGCGGCGGGTCCGGAGTACGCGGGCCGGAAGGTCCGCGCAATGCCCGCAGTTGGACTTGTCCAGCGCCGCCTCGGTGTGGGCCAGGCCCAGGCAGGCGACGCAGGCCCAGGCAGGCGATGCGGATCGTGCTGATCCGGCGGCTCTATCGGTCCCGCGCAGATCTTGCAGATTGTTGCCATAGTGAATTCAACAGGTGAAGTAGAAGATTCTGACGTAATTGTCGTGTGCACCGCATTTTATACTGCCGCTCGAGCTCGTCAGTATTTGCATGCGATTTGCATACTTCGCGTCAATTGGCCAGTCATTTGGACTGGCGGGAGCCAATAGGACTTCAGGAAAGGTTGGAAGGGAAGGAGTTCCCATAACGGAGAAATATCTCCGTGATGTCTCGTGAAAGCTCGAGAGGGAACTGCTGATAATACTGAGGGACCTTATATATGAATGCTTAGATAGGTGTCGTATTCCTATTGGTAGATGGGGATCAGCTGAGAGTCAGCTGATGCGAGCTTGACTAACGTGACCTGCCAGAACTAACGCTACGCTTAATGTGCATCAAATCGGTAAACACTGCACTATTTCAACCAAACTGCTAGGGAAAGATAAAAAAAAATCGAAAAGATGTTGCCAATGGATGATTATTCACCATAATTATAAGAACAAATATGAGTATATTTACATACAATCTCAAAAGTGTTCAAAATTTTGAATTTACTGTACATTTAAATCTAAAATCACAAATAGAATCACTCTAGACATTTCTCATTTCAATCCGGGCCACTTTCACATGTGGACTGTAATCAGTAGTTAAAGTCATCTCATAGTGATCACCTTCATCCACTGATACTAATACCACAGGCTGATGAACGAATCTCCTGTGGAGTTCATGAGTGAACGCATCAGTGTGAGAGTGATATGGAGCTGTGGCTCAAGCGTGCGTGCTCTAGTGTGTGCAATAAGTGTAGCTGAAAGGTGTTTGAAATGGTTCAGTCATGCAAACTCTTCAGCCGTCGTCCACTGACACCTCCCTCCCTCTCTTTTTTGTAAGGTCTTTTGTGAATGTAGGGGCAAAAATGTTCACACGGAGGGCAGTCCAAACAGGGACTTTTTCCCCAGTGACTCCCTGCCCACCTCATCCCCCGCCAGAGACAGGGCCATTACACAGCACTATTTCAGGTCACACACAGACATCAATCCCACAATGCATCAGCACCTCATTGCCTCATGTTGCGCCCCACAGACACATAATTAACCATGAGAAATTACGTAGTACACTGTAAAATAAATAAATACAGCAGGATGTGGTTGCCAGAACTTTACCATAAAAACTGCTGTAGCAAGGATAAGCGGGAATATCAATTTACAGATTTTCCACTGTGTATTATAAAATGACTTATTTTTCACTTCCAAAAACTGTATTTTGCTGTAAAACTAAAGGAAATTTCCTGTTAAATGAAAACTTACTACTAATCAATTAGCAGGGTTTTTTTCCCCATAGAATTTTTATCCCTTATGAAAAATAACCATGGTTTTACTACAAACAAAACCAAAAAACCATGGTTACTGTAGTTAAACCATGGTAACACTATATTTTCACAATTTTGGGGGGATTAAAATGTTGTATATAATCAATCAAATTATATATGAACAATTCCCTCTGTAAAAACCTTCAGGATATAGACAGGAATAAAAAAGTTTGGAGATTTATGGCTCAGTGTAGGAGAAAAAACTCATTTAGAGAAAACGGCCTTTAAAAATATGTATTGTAATTGAAATCTATTGACACAAATAGATAAAGTGCTATAAAATAAACACTTAACAGTGTCTTTTGGATGTTTTCTTTCCACTAGTCTGAAAAAACACTGAAAAACCAAAAAGCCCAAAATCTCAAACTTGACAGGTGCATGAAAAAACAGTGTTTTTGCCTGCAGTGTAGCTGAATCATGGTACTTGTAGTAATGGTACTCTTAATCATGGTACTTGTAGTAAAACTGTGGTTATACAAATGGTAATCAATATGCCAAAAAAACATGGTTACTATACTTTTACTACAATAAAACCATGGTTAATTTTCGCATTTTTAGCATTACTTATTATTACTTGTTTTTATTAATGCATAGGCTGTTGATGGTCTTATAGGCAGACGTCTGGCACTCTTTTGTCATTTCAAACTTTATTTGAAACTAAAATAGGAGAGAGGGGCTGAAAGAAGCTTGTCCGAGGGGAGCCCACATAATTGGATGTGGCGTGTGCTACAGCCTCGCAGGGAGTTTCTGACTGAATGCACTAAGAAATATGACATATTTTCAGTGTGCATTCATTGTATATAAGTCTGTGAATGCATCTCAGTGCCGGATCTTTTCTGAACAAACAGCAAATTGTTCTCCCGGTGAGTCTGTTTCTCTGTTCTTGAGCTCAAAATGAGTCTGCTGACATGTTCCATCAAAACTTCAGTGTGAGACTCTGAGGCTGAGTGTGAGCCGGTGGGACTCCCCTCTGAGGCCCTGGGGACGCTCGGCCTCTAATCTCACTCCCAGCCTTGGATCACAGGCCCAGATTCCTCACGTTTTCTCATTGTTACAGGCTCAGCTCAAACACTGTCCTGTTACTTTAAACCTGACAAAGGATCAGCTGCTTCAACACAGTCATACAGAATCCTCCAGGTCTGTGACAGCCATAGCTCTGTTCCTGTTTGGTTTTTCCAGAGGAATGCCGAGAGACGACGTTGCTGTGCCTAACATTTGAGAACTGTTATTTAAATAAAATGCAAAATTTGTTAACTTTGAGCGGTGATTGAAGGGGGAATTCATTTTGTTTTATTAAGGTGCTACGCCCCGTACCGGTGAGACGTAGGCTATGTATAACAGAAAATATGTTCTCATGAACGTCATCATGGATGGAATATAAGAAATATAATATTTATATTTCTAATATAAATATTAGAAATAATATTTCTAATAAATAATAAGTCTGGGCTTTGTGTGTTATTATTTAAAATGTACTTGTTCATTATTAATGTCCAAACGTACAGAAAACATTTACATATGGGGATTTATGTATATTTAATACAAACAATACAGTGAAATAACATAAAGGTCCAAATTACAGTCATTTCTACATTTATAAACCTGTACCTGTCATATTTAAATGAAATATATGTGACCCTGGACCACAAAACCAGTCATAAGGGTCAATGTTTTAAAATTGAGATTTATAGCGGAATAAGTAGATGTATGGTTTGTTAGGGTAGGACAATATTTGGCCGAGATACAACTATTTGAAAATCTGGATTCTGAGGGTTCAAAAAAATCTAAATATTGAGAAAATCGCCTTTAAAGATGTCCAAATTATGTTCTTAGCAATGCATTTTACTAATCAAAAATTAAGTTTTGATATACTTACGGTAGGATTTTTTTTAAGCATGGAACATGATCCTTACCTAATATCCTAATGATTTTTGTCATAAAAGAAAAATCGATACAATGTATTGTTGTCGATTGCTACAAATATACCCGTGCCACTTATGACTGGTTTTGTGGTCCACATATACATTTTTTCTTAAAGAATGAATTACTTCCTGTTACAAAGCCGAAGTCACAGTGATTTCCCCCCATTTACCCACAAATTATTATTGTTATGAGCGTTCTGACATTTTACTTTGACTATTCCCATATATTTCATTTATGATTCTTAGTTTTTTGGTTGCAGTAAAATATTCTTATACAGTTTCAATTGGACTATTTCACTATAAATGTGCAAAACAATACAAAAACATTTATTTATTATACAATTTATTTATACAAATAATACATTGAAATAACTAAAGGTCTCATTTTATTAGCAAAAGGATTAAAGAGTTATTTTCCGCATTTATAAACTTGCACTTGTCATACTTAAATGAACGAAATACAATTTTATTAAAGAATTAATCATTTGCTGTTTCAAAGCACCTTTTAGAGCTCAAAGTGAAAGAAATCGTGTGTCCTACGGAAGCCGTGAGCATTCAATCTGCAAGAGGATGACGCGCAGCTGACGCGTTTTTCGACGCGAGGAATCCTGGACGAAGACGAGGTTGAGTAGACTCGTTTTCAATTTTGCGTCCCTCCTGTATATAAAGCCTGGGCTCGACTGTATCCCGTTCATCGGGAAGCGCTGTCGGAGCGCGGCGACTCGAAGAGATTATTTCTATTCAGTCTAACTCTAGAGATCTGTCGTTTTCTTTCTTGTATACTCTGTGTGTTTTCATGAAACTGCTGCGCTAGCGAGCACTGATCCAATATGGCGTTTGTTTTAAAATGATGTTAATTTGTCCCATTTGTATAACGTTAACGGTCTTTACTCCATAAAGCGGAATTATAGTAAATTACATCACTCGCAAAGCATAAAAACACTACAAATTGCTGCCTAAAATGAAATATTAATACGAGCAATGAGTGGTTTCAAAATAATCAATGGCAGATTCACATTTTATTGCTGCTATTCATGTAACGTAATTAAAACATTGCACTTAAACTTGAAATCTGCAGAGATGGCCACTGTTATACAGAAATATAGCTTAACATATACTAAACATACATACATAACTAAATGTGACTAGCATTGTAGATATCTAAAGCGTTGAGTTTGACACCAGTCAAAATAATTTTTCCTCATTATACCAAATTCACAAAAATATTACACCATATTAACAACCTAAATTCATGCAGATTTATAGGTTATCTTTGGCTTGGGCTCTTGATTTTGAGTGCTGTGTATGTCTGTCAGATTGAGAATAAATGGAGGAGGAAGAGAGAGATGTGGAGGATGTTCTTCAGTCTGAGGAGAGAGAGGATGCACAGCCTGAACACATAAGAGATGGACTGGTAAGGATATGTGTAGACTAGTCAAAAGGGTGTACAGCACTTCATAATCACTGAAAGATAATGTTAAATGAACACTAACACAAACAAAAATGTTGATAATTGTTTAGGACAATTGAGCACATTTTACGTTTCCTATTTCCATTTTTCAGTGATGATTCTCATTAAAATCACATTTATCACATTGTTTTTACATTAAATGAGAATGAGAAGCTCATGCATTTTCTTTTACTCCATGCAAAGTATAATTTCTTACCAGTTTTATGACGGGCTTTTTTGACAGTCTTCCCAAGATATATAGTTAAATATTAAATAATGGTAAATAAATCTTAAATTTACAAAATAATTGTGAATTATCAGGTGTCAATGTTTTGTGTTCAGACTATTTGTTGTTGCACTTTGATGTTTTAGCAACATGACAAAAACTCAAAAGCTGAAGAAAATGCAGATTTACAAGAGCTTCCACCAGTCATTCCAGCCTCAGAAACTGTAGCAGCCAATCAGAAGCCTTCCACAGTCCCGACGCAAACGGACAACTTAATTATACTTGACCAAAACGGACATCCTATTCAATATGATCGGGTGGTAAGGACACTACACCGTGACCCATCACCAGAACCTATATTACTCGCACTAGATGACATGCATATCACCCATGATCTTGTTTCAGTCACCGGATATGTCAAAATGTAAAAATTTGGGTTTGTGTTCCACCCATTAAGTCATTTAGAGCGATATATTGAACTATATATGAACATTTTTCCCCACACCAAACACAGTTGAGTTTTTTTTCCCCCCCAGGTGATTGTGACAGGGGGGAATGGACAATTATATGGTGTCCCATCTGTGTCTATGGGGGCCGCTCAGATGTTACTACCTCATGGTCAGCTGTTGAATGTTGCAAAGTCATCAGGTCATTATTTATATTATATTTAAATATACTGAATATTACTTCTGTAATTATGTACTCTATATATAAAATAGTGAGAGGATTCTTTCCAGTTCTGCCATTTCTTTCTGTTTTGTTAAACAGGTGTCTTTGTGGAGAAAAGACAGCAGACAATCATCACATCCATAAAAGACAGTGATGGCACTCATAGTTTAGCTGCAGTGGCAGCTCAGAATGTCACTGGTATTAAAATTCACAGGAAAAGGTCAGTACGCCTTGTTTGCATATGATTTCTGCCACATTTTAAACCATGTTCTAGCTCAATTAAATCCTTGGGTGTAAAAAGGAAACTGCTTCAGACAGTGGAGTTCAAGCATACTTGCAATTATTGATTGTTCTTTAAAATGTCTTCTCATGTATTTCAGTCCTCCTGATGTATTTGAGCCTCCAGTGAAGCCACTTCCGCCTGGGGCACCAACCTGGGCATTGAGACTGCGCCGGTGTGAGGTTTGTCCTGTAGAAAATGGCTAAATTAAATTCTTTGACAAAACATTAACTTATGATAATGTAAACAATTAAAAGTAAAGTGTAATATGCATGGAAATAGATGAAATGTTATAATTCTGGTGTGTGTAGAGCCAGTAATTGCCCTCTGTCAAACAGATCCATTTCCAGCAACACAACACAATAATATAGCTTGTTGTTAAATCTTTTTTTTTATGATCGTTTCACGACGAACAGAAGATCGGTGACTCGTACCGTGGTTACTGTAACACAGAGGCAGAGCTGGAAGCCATTCTGCTTCTACACAAGCAGCAGACCCACGCCGTGTTTGGCACCCGTCAGTCACCCTCACCGGCTAAACCTGCCACCAGACTCATGTGGAAATCACAGTATGTGCCCTACGATGGCATTCCCTTTGTTAATGCAGGTAATCTGGCCCTTTTTGCTTGTGGGATCTATGTTACGACTTTATGTTAGACACCCCCCCCCTTTAAGTCTGAAAGTTTAGTCATGTAGTGTAAATGTTATTTTAGTGCCAGAATTGTGAAAAATGAAAGGTCCATGAATTCAAAATTGGACATTATTTGGCTTTTAGTTGATGTTTGTTAACTTTGGGATCATCTGTAGGCTAGTGGTATTGGTTGACAAATGTAGCAGATAAAAATGATCGCAGATACACTACTGTTTGGGGTAAGATAAAAACATCAGCAAGGATGCATTAAATAGATCAAAAGTGACAGTAAATACATTTTAAAAGATTTATATTTCAAATAAATGCTGGTCCTTTGAACTTTCTATTCATCAAAGAATCCTAAAGAAATGACTCACAGTTTTCACAGAAATATTAAGCAGCACAACTGGTTTAAACATTGATGATAATAATAAGAAATGTTACTTGAGCAGCAAATCAGAATATTAGAAGGATTTCTGAAGGACACTTAAGACTGGAGCGATGACTTCTGACAAATCAGCTTGGGCAACACAGGAAAAATTTATATTGTAAAATTTATTCAAATATAAAACATTTACTTTAAATTACAATAATATTTCACAATTGTACTGTTTTTACTGTATTTTTGTTCAAATAAATGCAGCCTTGGTGAGCATAACAAACATTTGAACAGTAGTTTATATGAATTTAAAATGTCTTTGGGTAAACTAATCAAATTATTTATGATTTATCCTGCACTTGTAAATGTGTCCGGAATTTTTAAAAATCAGACTGTTTCTTGAATGCTAGCAATAGGAAGTAGAATTAGCATACTTTTTTTTTTTTTAAAAGACAAACATTTTTGTTAAATCTTGATCGAACGCTGTTGTTGAAGATAATGTCATAGTTTTACAATATGCTTACAAAAGTCAGTTTATCTTGATTTTTAACTCGGTTTTAAGGAAGCAGAGCCATTGTGATGGAATGCCAGTTTGGTCCACGGAGGAAGGGCGTTCAACCTAAAAAAGGGTCTGAGCAAGAAACAAATCAAAACATCCTCTACAAAGCAACCTGCCCTGCCAGGTACACAACCTTCAGTTGAGCCAAGCACAACAGATTTGTTTCTGTGTACATTATGACACAATAATATTTGACCATTTTCAGAATATATATCAAAAAAGTACAAAAATTCTTGGAGTACAAGGTTCCAACAGATCCCAAAGTGGACAAGAAGGTAGTGCGGCAAGAGCAGGAGAAAGCCTTCTTCAACCTCAAGAAGACTTTATGGGATGTTGGAGGCGTTGAAAGGTATAAACATCTTGCCAGCACAGTTAAAAAAATCCATGACATGACTTACTGCAGGGTTCACTTCACACGTTTACATTCGTGACAGGTATTACATCCAGCTCCCCACAGAGAAAGCCCACCTGTACCACGACGTGGACACTGCAAACCTGCCTCCACTTCCAGAGCAGATCTGCTTCGCAGAGGAACAACAAAATGAAGAGGAAGAGACAGAGGAGCTGGATGTCCTGATGGAAGATGGGACACCCCTACCCTCTCGACTACACCCGCTCGTTGCAGAGAAGATCTGTGAGTTGGTGGCACAAGGTCATAATGAGGTTTACACTGTCCGCAAGCAGCTCAGGTATGACTCAGATGCTTTCAAATCTCCTTGCTTTCATTTGCTGAAAAACTACTTACTGTTGCTTTGTGAACACCCTGGCAGGAGGTTTGTGGAACGTGAGATGTTCAAATCGGAGGAAGTGCCTGAGAGACACAATCTGTGTTACTTTCCCACTGTCATTGACATCAAGAACCACATCCACGAGGCTCAGAAAGCTCTTCAGATGACCACGGGACCAATGGCTACCTCAGACACAGAAGTGTGGATTTTTATTGGAAAATATATTCCAATAAAAATACAAATATGCAAGCTATTTTCTGTAGTAAGCCTTCATTTGTGTGTGTGTGTGTTTTTTGCAGTGGAAAGCAGAGGCTAATAACTTGCTTCCGGAGACTATGACCTTGGCCCTGACTCCTGCTACTGTGGGCGGTAAAATACTGTTGAAATGTTGTTTAAAATTTTAGCTACTTTATTAAAACAATAAATGTTTAATGTGTTATGGCTGGAATGCATTACAGAACTTTTTACAGAATTTTGCCCCAATTTGCAATCTGGAGGACTGTCGTTTAGTGTATGATGCCCAGTAACCATTTACAAAGTCAGCAAGTGTGTGATGCCTAGAGTGCATTTGTGTACTGTATTCCAGCCTTAAACATTTTGGAATCATTCAATACAGTATAAGAGAGTGGAGGAGAGTCTTGCTTCAAAAAGAAAGCACCAAACTGTCAAAGTATAACCATTGTTTACCCTGCCACACTATCTAGTGTACTGCTGTTATATTGACAGTATCCTCTCAGAAGGAAGGGCTCCTGGAAGGAAGTGACACTCTTTCTCCAGATGCTGTGCAGCTCTTCAGCTCTCTCACCTCACTGCAGCCCAAGATCTTTGCACATCTCCAGGTGACCATGTCCTGAACTGATATAAGAATTGCACAGTTTTAATCTATTAAGTTACTTCAAAAATACATTAAAAATGCTATTCAAACATATAATAAGGTGTTTATATCTCTTTAATGATGAGCATGTTTTTTAGTGTAGAATTCAAATGGAAAAATTCATTTGGGGAGCATAAATTCATGTTTCAAGATGATTAACTGAGCTGATAACATAATAAAGAAAAAAGTAATTAAAATAATTAAATATTTTGCATACTTTTTTATTATTATTTCTTAGAAAAATGTTTAACCAAAGCTGCTTCACTGCTTATTAATTTTGACTTTTAAAAAAATTAATTTTCCTTTGTTGCTATTTTAAATTATTATGGTGACAACCAGGGAAAAAAGCAATTGCTCATTAGTTAGAGTAGGACTGAATGAATGAGATTTCAAGTCTTGTATTTCTAAAGCCATTTGTTTCTCCACACAAACAACTATGGCCACTTTTTTTCTACTATAAAACCGTAATGCAAGATTCCCCTTTCTGTCAAACATGTTTTATTGGACTGTCCCGCTTTTAATGTATGTAGAAAACTCTTTTATGAACTGAACTCAATTAAAGAGTTTAGTATAATTTTGCCAGAAAAAGTTTTAGAATTGTTATCATATGTTAATGTAAAAAATCTTGTGTAATATAACTTGCTTGTTTGTTTGCTGGTTTTTATTGTATTTGTTATACTTGTATTTTTTGAATCGTTTTTGCCATGAAAAGATGCTGACATAGCATTAAATAAAAATATACTACTACTACTCCTCTATAAAACATGAGTGTGTTTCTGCAGATATTTCTGTTCTTGTTTCTTGAAATATATATTCTTAACGAAAACTGCTTCACTACACTCTAAAAAATGCTGGGTTAAATACAACCCAGTGCTGGGTAAAATAGGGACAAACCCAGCAATTGGGTTGTTTTGACCCAGCGGTTGGGTTGCTACCCAGATTTAAAAAAATTAATTTTCCTTTGTTGCTATTTTAAATTATTATGGTGACAACCAGGGAAAAAAGCAATTGCTCATTAGTTAGAGTAGGACTGAATGAATGAGATTTCAAGTCTTGTATTTCTAAAGCCATTTGTTTCTCCACACAAACAACTATGGCCACTTTTTTTCTACTATAAAACCGTAATGCAAGATTCCCCTTTCTGTCAAACATGTTTTATTGGACTGTCCCGCTTTTAATGTATGTAGAAAACTCTTTTATGAACTGAACTCAATTAAAGAGTTTAGTATAATTTTGCCAGAAAAAGTTTTAGAATTGTTATCATATGTTAATGTAAAAAATCTTGTGTAATATAACTTGCTTGTTTGTTTGCTGGTTTTTATTGTATTTGTTATACTTGTATTTTTTGAATCGTTTTTGCCATGAAAAGATGCTGACATAGCATTAAATAAAAATATACTACTACTACTCCTCTATAAAACATGAGTGTGTTTCTGCAGATATTTCTGTTCTTGTTTCTTGAAATATATATTCTTAACGAAAACTGCTTCACTACACTCTAAAAAATGCTGGGTTAAATACAACCCAGTGCTGGGTAAAATAGGGACAAACCCAGCAATTGGGCTATTTTGACCCAGCGGTTGGGTTAAATGTTTAACCCAACCTTCTGGGTAGCAACCCAACCGCTGGGTCAAAACAACCCAATTGAATTTAAATTCCATTTGAGTTTTGGCAGGTTACATGTGCGACGCAGCGAGAGTGAAAAAGCAGACGTGGTAATTAATATTGCTATTTAAATATGACAGGCTCATAACTCCTAAGACATGGGAAATACAGTTGAAAATAGACTTTGCTTCTTCATTTGAAATTTGGCAGTCACTGCGTTCGCGAAAGCGAAAATGCAAACGGTAATGCAGGATTTGCAATTGCATTTTTGTCCCTATTTTACCCAGCATTTTTTAGAGTGTACTTATTAATATTTGACAAACTTTTGTCCGCCAAATTAAAGACCAACATACAAATAAACAACATAAAACAGGAAATGCTTTCATAGAGAGGATCCCTGAAAACCGACATGACTGTGCATCAAGGTCAAACTATCAGATCATTAGACTCTTCTCTCTTGTCTGACAGGCAATCCAGCTACAGCCTGCCTTGTGTCCAGTGGAAGAAACTGCTCAACCTACAGCAGCACCACCAGAAGCCCAAGAGCTGTCCAGCCCTGCGCCCCCACAGCCTGTCCTGCTGAGTCCGTCCCACTTCCTGCAGTCGAGTCCCAGTGCTGGTGAAAGCATGAGTCAGCTGGTGAGCGTGGCCTTGGCCACTGAAGGTGGCATCACACAAATCCTGTTGGAGGATGGACAGGCTATTCCTGTCCAGATTGTGGACCCTGCAAGCATAAGTGAGTTCATGGGAGCATAGAAATGATAATAATATCTTTTTAATTTTTATTGGTTCCCATGTTTATCTGATTCTAATCAGGAAAACAGCAGGTAAATATATTGTTGTTTCTTATTGTTTAGCTTTGACTCCCTCAGCGGACGAAACTCCAGTAAAATAGGACGGTGGATGTGTCAGTGGATGTGTGAGCAGAGTCAGAGGCTGGAAACACAACAGTGGGAAAAGAAAACAACATTCTGAGCTCTTTGATCACTGGAGGATTCATTCATTGTATCATATACAGTATTATGTGAACATGGACTTGTATGCAATATTGATATGTAGTATTATTATTTTTTTCCCATATATTATAATTTCCCATTATTGCTATTTTAATTTATTATGGTGACAACAAGAGAAAAAAGCAATTTCTCATTAAAAGTCTAACTGAATAAATGAGACCAGAATGAAATATTTAAAGGTTAATGTCTTTTGTTTCAGGAGACATTTGTTTATTCACACAAACTATGGCACGTTTCACAACATTTGTTTTCCTGCAGGTATTTCTTCTCTTTTTGAATAGAAGCCTAATGGATCCTTTGAATGGAGAGTCAGTTAATTTGTAGTATTATTTAAATGTAATATATTGCTTGTTGCTGCTAACATACATAACCTACAGGTGTCACCTTGGTCAAAGTCGAAAATGTAGCTCCCACCATCTGTCAAGCAAACAAAGCAGCAAAACATCTGAAAGCTTGTTATGTTTATTATTTTGTTACAGCACGGAAAAATCATATTTAGGTCTTTTATTCTGCAACTTCCGCTTTAGCCAGTGTCAGTGTTGGTGATTAGCGTACAGTACATTTAAACAGCACTTTGCGCACTTTTATTTTTGTCCCAGACAGATTAGAAAAAAAATATATGTATTTATGTTATTCATCAGGATTGAAGGAGGGAGCACATTCGTGTCTATCCAGCATTCCTCTGGAGCAACTTTTATTTAAAATAGATAAGTTAGGCTGTTCTAAATAGACTGGGGAAGTGTTCCCCATGCAGCCAAATGTACTTTACTTTTTCCTGCTATCAGAAGCCAGCAGTCCCTTCTCTAGTAGCGTAACGTTAGATGTTGCAGCAAAAAGAAGCTGGAAGGTAACTTCAAGCTCTCTCTCTCTCTCTCTCTCTCTCTCTCTGACCCAGATGTTGTTGTTTAAGACCGTTCGTCTGCTCTCGGTGGGATGCACACTGGGGTTGTCCATGGTTTCAGACTTGTCTGTTGACTGACAGTAGGATAGAGTCATGAGGCTGGTTAAAGTCAATATTTACCAGTGATTAACCAGCTGCTTGTAAGGATTGGCCTTGATCTTGGCTGATGTAGAGGCATTTAAGTCGTCTTCTTTCTTCTCCCTTTTTTAGATTTGTTTATTATCAGTGTTAAGGATTAGTGGCTTTAAGCTTTACTTGCTGATTGCTTTTAAGTTTTTACAGTGGTTGTACAGCAACAGTGTACGTATAATCCTTAAATAATTTGGATATCATTACACATTTAGCCTAGGTGTGCTAGCTGTTTCTGGATTTGTATTTTTTTTAACTTAAAGCTTAAATTTTAAGAAAGTATACAAAAATTAAGATAAGTTTTAAAACACCTAGTGACCTTTATTGCACTCCACCAGTAAACAGACTGCAATATTGGACGTTTATTTGCGTACTGAATTACAATTGGCCTTTCTTACATCTATTTGCATAACGAACTATTGGTCTTCTGAATTGCATACTGAATAATGATTGGTCTTTTGTCCTACATCTGTTTGCTTACTGAATTATATTTGGGTTGGATGTAATCAGCAGCACCAATAATTTTATTTTGGTTTTATTTACCAGTTGAATGTTGATATGATAAAAAGGCTGGGTACTAGGGATGCACGATATTAATATTTTTGCCGATATCCGATATGCTGATATTTTTCAAATAATTTTGACCGATAACCGATGCCGATACCGATTTCCCTTTGTTTTGAAACACCACCAAGTCTCTCCTGTGCGGAAATTATAAACAAATTGTTTTTAATTTAGGATATTTTTGAGCAAAAACGTATTTTTTTAGAACTAATAAACATTATAAAAGTTTTTTTTTTTTAATGAGAGTACATTGTATACAAGTTTTCATAATCCTTTTAAATGTCTGATGGATCTGCTGTACTTTATCATAGAACACTTTCCGTATATCTGTGTATTTGGGGCATTCTGTTAGGAAATAACAATGTTATTCTCCCTCTCTCCCTCTCTCTCTCTTCCTCTCTCTCCCTCCCTCCCTCTCTCCCTCTC